ACACTGAGGCAGCCGAGCCTCGCCGAGACCCATCTCCCCAGCCCAGCTGTCCGGAGGAAAAGAAACACTGCCGAGGCATTTTGGTATTTCATAGATAAAAAGAGAAAACCAGAATCCTATGAAAATTTCTTTAATTTTCATTTTTTGGAAATACAGTTTTCATTTTTAGTTCCATGATACAAAAATGTTAAATATCTAACAATGATCTCTATGAAGCGGATCTGGTGAGTGGACCCACTGTCCCCCCGCTGCTGTGATGGCCTCCCGGAGAAGGCCGCAAGGTGCGGGCTGCTGACCGCCCCAGAACGGGGGCCAGGCGCGCGCGGAGCCGTGGACACAGCGGCTCTGCACGCGCCACTCGCACAACCCGCACAACCCGCGTGAGCGCCCGTGGCGGGGAAGGGCGGGGAGAGCAGGCCCCAGCGGCAGGCGCCGTTCAGTGCCTTCAGGGGACACGGCGGACGCTTTCCGGCTAGTGAAACAAGCTGGAGAATTTAATGTTTTCAGGCAGCTCTGGGGGAGACAGGAGGCTGTGGCCACGGCCGAGACGGCCCTCAAGTCAGCAGGAGGGGTTGAGCGCCCCAGGGAGGCGGCGGGGTCCGCGTCGAACGGTGGCCACAGCGCCCCCGAGCACTGCTGCTGTCTGCCCAGCTGGCCCCTGACCAGCCCCGGTGGACTCTCGAAGACAACAGTTCATGACAAGGTGTCACACGAGCAACAGACAGTGGACGGGCTAACGGTGGGCACGGTCACCACAGCCTACAGCCATGCTGGCGGCAGGCAGCTGATATAAAAAGAAGAAAAAGAAACGCAGCCACAAAAATAAAAACCGGTTTTTTCCCCAGGAGACGCGGTTGCAAGCCCCTCCCAGGCCACATTCTATCCAGTGAGAGTCGCTATGGCTTCCTCTGCGCGGGCTCCCGCAGGCCTGGGTTACCACGTGTCGGGAACTTCAAAGAGGTTGGCAGAACTGTCCGAGATGCTTCCTGGGGGAGAGGACAGAACCAGGTGATCAGGAGGCCAGGCCGTGGGGCGGGGGCGGGCCAGCAAGGAGCGGGCCCGCAGACGCCCTGGGCAGGCTGGTCTACTGGAGAGCAGGGCCCGCGGCGCCGCGCAGCGCGGGCCGCAGCAGGCAGGTGAACGAGCGCCCGGGTGGCCTCGCTACCTACCTCCGCAGGAGCTGAATGTAACACTCGACAGCGCACTCCACAGCTCATCCTCGCCTCGCGGGTCCGCACGGTGGTCTCACCATCCCCTCCAGGACCTTTCGGGTTCACTGTCTCTGAGACACACTCAGATGCAAAACCGCTCAGCAGCGCCGGGACAGGGTCTGATGCCGCAGCACAGAGGCCCCAGACGGCTCCCTGCGCGGTGATGAGCAGACTGCTGGGGACGCCCGGGCTGGGCTACACAGTGGGGGAAGCTCACCGGTGGCGTTGCAGAGACCCCAAGTGGCACAAAACAGAGCTTGAGGGTTTTTCCAAGTTCTGCTCCAGCCAAGGTCTCCTGGCCGGACGGAAGCCCACCCCCCACCACAAGCACCATGACTCCTGGAAAGGCCTTCCCCACCGGGGAGCTTCCCACAGCAGCACAGGGGGCACCCCCTGGCCTGGACCACCTTTGTCAGGAGGGAGGGGGTGAGCCGGTCAGCAAACAGTGAGTTCACAACAGGGGGCAGAGCGGGCAAGGCCTTACTGAGCCAGAAAGTGGGGCTGGCAGGGAGGCAGGAGAGCCCACCCCAGCTACAGATATACCAAGACTGTAAAAGGAGTAAGAAATCTTTGGTGGTGCCTAAAATACACTGGAACTTTAAAAATGGGGGTGTTGTGCCACCCCCCCTCCCATAAGGAAACCACACAGCAAAGAGGAGCTGCTGTAACCCAGGAAGAAGCTGGCGAATGCATGGCACAGCAGAAGCGACCTAAGGGCTGAATTCCCACTGCTGCCCACTGACTGAGAAAGACCCAGAGAGCCAGTGCACACTGCATGGGGAGCCAGGAGCAAGGGGACCCCAGCTTCTCTGGCGGCCGGGGTCCTCTGGCCTTACTGAGCATGCTTCTGAGGGGAGGTGCTGGGAGGGACCACCCAGTCGGGACTGCGGACGGCAAACAGCCGAGCGAGCGCACACTGAGGCAGCCCAGCCTCGCCGAGACCCATCTCCCCAGCCCAGCTGTCCGGAGGAAAAGAAACACTGCCGAGGCATTTTGGTATTTCATAGACCAGATAAATAAGCCAGCAGCCAACCAGCTGCTCAAATCTGGTGGAGAGGAAGGGAAGAGGCCTGGCTACGAGCAGCCACACAGTCCACCCGCAACTGCCCCTGGCACCAGCACAGGCTGCGCCCCCCAGGAAGGGCGGCAGAGTGGTGGGGACAGCCAGGGAGAGCAGGCCTGAGCTCCCCTGCTTGACCCTCTCACCAGCCATGACCCTGAGCCACTCATGACTGAATACGCCTCAAGGCCGCCACAGGGCACTGTGGCTCCGCAGGTCCCTGGTCCAGGGCAGCTCCTCAGGGCCCCGGAGGCGGCCCAATCGGACATGATTCTTCCTGGGGGAGCAGCAGCCTGCGGGCAGAGACGCAAACTCTCTTGCCTAAAAGCTGCAGCTGCAGTGAGCACGATGAGAGCTGAGGACCCAGAACTGCAGGGGCGCCCAAGGGAGACCCTGCGGGCGGGAGCTGGAGGCTGCTGGCACTGCTCTTTACAGCACATTCCAGAAAGGAACGCTGCAGAGGGAGAGGGCAGGTACAGACAGCTATGGGGATGGAGCTGTGGTCGGTCTTCCAGGAGCTCGTCTGCTCGTCTGCACAGTCCAGTTTCACTGGCGTGCAAGGAACTGTTAGGAGCAACCCGCGAAAAACCCAAGGCTGTCTTCCACCCACTATGCTGGAGCTCAGCTTGCAGTGCTGCTGGTGCAGATGACCGTCCACCTAAACATAAAACCTCAAACAACACTCATAGGGAGAAACACTAGAGAAAACCATTGCAATTTTGAGGCAGGCCAAGGCTTCTTAAGTATGACACAAAGACATAATCCAAGAAAAAAAATGATAGAGTGAGTTTCATTAAAATTTAAAACATCTGCTCTTTGAATGATACTGTTATGAGAATGAAGAGTCTCGAAGAACATATTTGCAAGACATGCAAAAGGACTTGTGTGCAGAATACAGAAGGAACTCTCAGAACTCAGTAAGAAAACAAACAACCCAGCAAAAAAAGAAAATAAGGCTGGATTTGATCAGACATGGCACGAAGAAATCAATCACATGGAACAGCATACATCGCTTGGGAAACTCAACTCGCAGCCATGATGAGGAACTGCTGCTCATGTGAAACCTGTCATCAGAACAGCGGGGAACAAGCGAACTGGGCAATTCCAGTTCTGGCGAAGGGCAGGCCCTGGAATCCTGCGCCGGGAATGCAAAGTGGCATGGCCACTTCGGAAAACGTGTGCAGTTTCTTCTCAAGTTAAACATGTTCTTACAAACGACCCCGTAATTCCGCTCGGAGGCATTCACCCCGAAGGAACCAAGTAGTTCCCAGGAAAGGCCAGACACAAACGTTTATAGCAGTTTGACTCTTGGTTGCTAAAAGCAGGTAACAACCCAAAAGTCCTTCTACTGGCACACGGGTAAACAAACACTGATGTGCTGTAAAGCAGGACACCACTGGCCACAGGAAGTGCTGACATTCGCCACACAAGGATGGGTCTCGGGAGCATCACGCTAAATGAAGACCCAAAGGCTACCTCCCCACTCTGCGATTCCAACTGGACATGAAAGGTGAGAGGCAGATAAGAACACTCGCTCCCTGGATTTCAAGTGTTAGCACCATGGGGTGATCTTTCTTGTTTTTCTTCACTGTGCACATTTCATCGTGAGTCCTCTTTTTTCATTAATTAAAGAAATGAAGAAACAGTGACCACACAGGCGAATGTTTCTGCTTATTCTCTCTTCCACCCACCTCCAGCTGAAGGGTAGTCCTCTGGGAAGTGAGACCTCTTTTCCCACAGGGAACGCCGGAGCAGAACCCCAGACTGGAAATCTGCCAGGTTATCACCTCCGCAGAGAGGAATTCAGTGTGCAGAGGGTCCTTTAGGTGCCAGATAAAAGTATCCATGAGGAAGGGCCCCAGAGGGCTGGTTCTGGGGTGGATTCTCAGACCGTGAAGGGGAGCTCCCCGGGGTGCTACTGGGGCACCCAGGGGTTCCCGCAGGAAGGGAGGCACCGATGACTCCCAGGGTACAGCCTCCGCTGCCTCCGGGGTGGAAGCCACATTTTAATGGGGCAATTAAAGGGCCTCAGCAGCCAGGAACCTGCCCTGACTCTCGGGAGCCCTGTGAGCAGGAAGCCCTGCCGCCCAAGAAGGCCCTAAGTTTTTACGCTGTGACCTTAGGCCTGAAGTTTGAAAAGCCTGGCAGATGAGGCAAGACTCCAATCAAACTCATACTTCTTGGCAGACATTTAAAGGTCTGACATGGCTTTAAAGGTCTATCACATGACAAGAGGCAGCACAAGGCCCCGACGTGACTTTTGTGATGCCCTCCGCTGATGCCCACTAGGGGTGCTGGGCACCTGCCAGCCTCTGGAGGCCTGCAGTACTGGGACAATGCAAGCCTGGCACTATCTGGCAGCCCCGCCATTTTCTGGAGAAGTGAGGGGGTGAGGCGGCTGGGGTTTCCCCAGGTCCCGGACGCTATTCGCTTACTCAGCAGGAACAAGTATGCTATGGAAACCATCCACCAAACGTCTGGGGACTGTTTCCTAGGGATAGCTCATTCCAGAAGTAGCAGGCAGAACCGCTGTGTTTCATCTACCAGACGAGAATGTACCTTGAATTCCCCAGCACATGAACACACAGCAACACCAACGTGCACGGCTCATAACAGAAAAGCGTGCTCACACTATACATTTGTGGTTTGAAAACAGGAGAGAAACAACATATAAGAGAAAATAGTAAGAGAACTGCATCTACTAAGAATATAATATGCATATAACACAGATGCTGCAAGGGAGGGGCACTTGGATTGTTATCACCTGACTTCATCAGTTCAGAGTCCAGGCTGTCAGCTTCTGACCTAGCACAGCTTCCAGAAATACTCCGCTTTGAAAACAGTCCTTTGCTTCCTCTGAAGTTCAGGCACATTTCACAAACTGCAGATGAGCTGGGAGAGCTGGTCAGACACCTACCCGCCCCCTGGCCCTCCACTGCCCACGCTTGGAACTCTGGGTCTCAATTTCCTCTACAAAATGGAAATCATGTCTATGCTTCACTGGGCTTTGTAAGGACTAGACAAGGTTTAAAAGGAATAAGGATGTCAGGTATATAATATAAACTCAGTGAATGATAATTGGGGTCAGTATGTTATCCGGGAAGACACCGGTTAACCGAGCTTCTTTGTGTCGCCTGGACAGTAAAGAGTGTAACTAAGAAAAACAGCGTTTGTCCACGTGGAATTTATTGTGGCTCACCTGTCTCAGGATTGTCACCACACTCGACAGCTCGGTCCATGCTACCTTTTACGGCTTTCTCCCTGCGGGGGAGTGCTGGGCGCCCTGCCCAGCCCTGAGGGGCAGGCTCAGACTCCCGCTGAGGCCCTCTCTGTGTCTTCCCGTGCAGCTCCGACCCATGTCTGTCAGCCATCCCAGCTCCAGGAATGCCCAGGGCCTTTGGGAGTTTAACACAAACCCTCTCGGGGGCTGCACTGTGCTCTCCCCTTCATTCCAGGACCTGACTAAAGTCATCAAGCAACCAACGTTAGCGATTCAGCAGATTCTGCCCCTGTTTCTTGACCTACATCGTGCTGAGACCATCAGGATGACACACTGACCAGAGCTGCTCATTAAGCGCCAGCCGCAAGAGGCTTCCCCCAGGGGCTGTGCTCCTGGAGAAAGCTCTGCGCTCTCGAGCGGCCTGATTCAGTTTGAAGTTGTCAAGATGTTTCTCTCTTTCTTTCCTTTTTAGCAGGACTGACAAAGAAGCACAAAATCTATAATTTTTTTTTAGCTCAAATCTTATGGCAGTGACAGTTTCACTGTCAATGGGTGGGGGGACTATTTTAATGAAGATATTATAAATTCAAAACCCCAAATAACTCAGAAAGTTTTCACTTCAAGTGATGAAAGTTATAAAAGGAGCTTGTCTGCTAATGCAGTCTATTATTATCTTAATATCTTTAAGGTTAAGCTGAGCTCGAAGAAAAAAAAATAAAATCTTACCCCTAAGAAAGAACAAACAGATAAGCAGAAAAACGCAGAAGAGAATAGAACTCCCCATCATGCTGGCTGTGATCTTTAAAAGTCAGGCTAACATTTACATGGAACATTTGTTGAGCAGGTGCAACGAGGTGGTAGCAAGGTACCAGGAAGTATGCGGATTAACAATTTCTCCACCACTTCATTCAGGGGAGGAAGGAGGCAAATGGAGGCAGACACTGGCTTCAAGGAGGCAACTAACCTACACAGTCCTGGCCCAGACACCAGGGTACCGGTGGCTGCACTCAAGCTCAAGGACTAAAAGCACAGGTGATGCTTTCGCTGCTTCTCTGATTTCATTAATGAGATTCAGAAGACGCCCTGTGATCAGACTGGGCCACGTGCAAAAAGAGGAGTCAATCAAAACAGCAAATCCTTAGCTTGGGTCTGAAAACATCTCCACTGCTTCACCACCATTTGACTTGCTGGTTGCTTCTGCTGACCGAAGAACCCCAAGGAGAGAAGAGGTGACTGTGCTTAGACGCGCATTCCTGTGGCAGGCAGACTTAAGGTCTCCGTGACCGTGGCCAGTGCTGTAATCCTTGGGGTCTTTTTTTAATTATCAAGTGACTACCTGAGGTTTAAGGGAATTTTTACCAGGCAGGACATGCCTGGCCCTCAGCAGCAGCTGCAAAGACCGTCACCGCCACTGCCGTCTGACCAGGCCACGCCTAGGAGCCTGACAAGACAGCCCCTTCCTCACCTCACACGGGCCCCTGTGTGGGGCTGGGCACAGAGGGTGGAGCACAGTCCGACCCTGCTTTTCTCGGTGTCAGAGGACAGAGGATTTGGCCTCAGGCCAGCTGGGACTCATCTTCTGGTTCTGCTTTTCACTAGCTCTGAGGACCCACGGAGGCTTAACCTCTCTGAGCCCAGACATATGCATCTCTAAAACAGGGGTCACCATACTTTCTCTCACATCTGCTATGAAAGTGCAGTAACATGAGGAGAGAAAAGTCTATGCAGCAGTGTCCAGCACACAGCAGGTGCTCCCAAGTGCTCATTTCCGGTGTTCTCTGCCCCGATATAACTCTGCTTAGAGGAGAAACCTGGGCTGTCTGGGGCTTTCTGAGGACAGTGAAAACTGCTACTGAAAATTGCATGTGTGGGAGTAGGTCTCCGCGTGTAAGATACTGAGGCTACCCCGAACAGACGAGCCAAACCGCTCAACCTCGGGGGAGACAAGGTCACCAACGTCTCTAAGAAGGGCATCCCCACTAAGCCTCATCCTGGCAAGAGCTAGGAACTTTTGGGGGGGTTCCGCCAATTAAATTAAGTTGATCCTAGAGACACTGGTCCCAGGCACACTGTGCGGACTCTGACCAGCCAAGGCCTCTGTAACTTCTCCCTACATATAAGTTTCTAGAGCATTCAAGAAAACGTAATTCCTGTCCTTCGTAAAATCTGGTACAAACCTGCTGGGGAAAGGTCCTTCTTCATTCTTTTTAACTTCTTGGCCTTCTTCCTTCCCTCCGAGAGGGGTTCTGCACAGGGGTCTGTCTGCTCCAGCTCACTGTCAGAAATCTCCCCTGACACCATGGCCTCTAAGCCAGCTTCGGCTTCGCTGAGACTCAGATTTCTCTTTCCCCCGGTGCTGGCCGCTGTGAGTCTGAAATGCAAACAGTTCAGCTGCATGAAAGGTGTTAAGAGTGGCGGGAAGACGAGCCTGTAAAAATACTTTAATGCTATTAATTCTATTAACACTTCACTAGTAATCAACAGGGCAGCTCCCTCCTACATGACAAAGGCCTTGTTATGAACTGAAGTCTGAGTTTGCCCATGACAGGCTTGCTCAGAAGAAAGTTCTAAGCTATGCTTGTGGATGTCTGTACTTAAGAGAACAGAATTTTTTTTTAAATATTTATTTTATTTATGCATACAGAACTGGGGTACAGGCCAGAGGAGCAGGGGCAGTGAGAGATTTCACCAGAGACGGAGCTGGGAGCAGAACAGGCAGATCAATGAAGCACACTGCTGAGGGGGGCAGCGGGCGGGTCAGGAGCCGTCTGTCGCGCCATGTGGGTCACTTCCAGGGTGGGGATCCACTGCAGCTCGCTTGCAGTGCTGCCTCCTAACCCATCGCACCACCAGGGAGGGCCGAGAACAGAAACTGTAAGGAAAATTCCCAGTCTCCGCTTTGGGGAGGTTATTCTGACAGAAGAACAGAAGAGCTGAACCACCACAGCCTTGGTGGACAGAGCCCTGAGACAGCTATGATGCCTTCTGACTGTCTCCCAGATGCACAGCTGTGAGAGGTTCTAGAAAGGTTCTGGAGTTTGTCGGCTCTCACACTGCTCGTGCGTCTGAACGCCCTTTCAGGGCATACCCCACAATAAGAAATTCATGGAAATTCTCTTCTATTTCAAAAAGGTGACTTGTTAAATTTATAATTAAACCTGGCTTTGTTTTTAAAGCTTTATAGGATTTGACATGTTAAATTAAATCCGATTACATGTCCTGATTTTTCTGTAAGAAAATATGTTTCCTGAAATATAACTTGGTAAAAGCAGAGACCACATGGCCAGCATGAGTCCTGTCTCCTCTAAATGGAGCTTATAAATAGATTTTTTCCTTATAGCCCCCAAGTTATAAAAAGCATTAAAAAAATCAAGTTATTCCACTTACAGGAATAGGGAAGGAAGGCGAGAGAGCAGACTCCCTTGTAAGCCTGCCCCTTGGAAATGGGCACTTATGAAACGCTACCCATAAAGAGGGCTACCCTCCTACTGAAGTGTCCAGATCCTATCTCAGCTCATCTGCTCTGTACTTGACACCTGCACACTTGTACATGCGAAGACAATAAGCTGTCTGCCTGGCAGCTCTTAAAAGCCACAGGGAAGTGGGACAGGGCCGGCCACAAGGCCTCAGACCACTGGCCTTCCCTTTTTCTCCCTTAAACATCCATTAGATGTAGGCTTTCAGAAACATCTTTTATCGAGAGACAAGTCAAGACACCAATGGGGAAATGGGGGAGGGGGTATGTTAAAAATCCATGCTAAAGTTGTAGTTAAAAATATCGGATAATATCTACAAAAAGGATTTAAAAAATCGGTTTGATAAAATTTGGAAACGCGGAGAAAAATAAGAAAATATTAAGGACCCACCTCTTCTATCAATACTACACAAGGGAAAGAGTCTTAAAAATTTCTCTGGGCTGTAAATACTGAAGCCTATAGGATGTAAACATTTAATGAAAACTCAGCTGGAACCACTGGCATTCGAAATACTTCAAGTAATACAAAGTCCAAAATCCAGAGTGTGATAAAGGTAGTATTTCAAATGGGCAGGGCAAAGATGGACTTTTTAAAAATGGTGTTAAGACAAGTGGAAAGGATACACTGAGACTCAGTACTCCTCACACCATACCCGGGGATGAAATGTCTAAATGTAAGACGACATGACACTATACACTACTAGATGAAAACATGGATGAATTCTTCCAAAATGTTGGTGAGAAAGGCCTTCTTACTAAGACTCACAACTCAGATGCCTAAGATTTAGAAACTTGACCTCCCTGGGCCCCCCACCTCCCCCACGACAGTGCAATGGTTAAAGTACAGCACTATGAAGCTAACTACAGCCGCTTCCGCATGAGTTCAATCCCCGGCCAGGGAGGTGACCCGCAGGGCAGAGCAGACCTCTCCTGACCCGCCCGCTGCTCCCCTCAGCAGTGTGCTTCATCAATATGCCCATCTGCTTCCCACTTTTGTCTCTGGTGAATCCTCTCACCGCCCGTGCACCTTTGGTCTGTACCCCAGATCTGTATGCATAAATAAATAATCTTAAAAAAAGAAGAAATTTGACCTCCCCAAAATAAAAATCCTTCAGCATAAAAAATTAGAAAAGATGAGTAAAACCAAAAGACAGATGGCAAACTATCCATAAGATCTAATGGATGTTTAAGGAAGAAAAAGGGAAGGCCAGTGGTCTGAGGCCTTGTGGCCGGCCCTGTCCCACTTCCCTGTGGCTTTTAAGAGCTGCCAGGCAGACAGCTTATTGTCTTCGCATGTACAAGTGTGCAGGTGTCAAGTACAGAGCAGATGAGCTGAGATAGGATCTGGACACTTCATGAAAGGGCCCAAGTTCCTTCCATAAATGTAACTCAAAATCAGGGCAAAAATACAGAAAAAGGGCAAAGTTAAGAATGAACAATTCACTATACACACACCTTAACACACCTTAAACCACCTAAAGATGGTCACCTCTGCTCATAATGCAAAATGACACTGAAACAGCATTTTTTACCCACTAGATTGGCAAAAATATCCAAAAGCCCGATACAATCTTCTGCTGGGAGACCGGGGGGGTGGGGCACACACTTTGTTGGTGAGAACGCGCTAAGGCACCAATCACTGCTAGGGACAGGGCTGTGGCAGTAGCTGACAATGAGTAGTCTATTTGCTGTTCGGGCTGGCAATCCCACTTTGTGGAATTTGGAGGAAACATTTCCAGCAATGCAAAGATATTTAAGCAGAAGGTTACTCACTGCATCTTTGTCTGTAATTGCAAAATGCTACCAAGAGCCTGAGGAAACTGGTTGAATGAGTTATAGCACACGCAATCCAGGAAGCACCAGCGGTTTCAAGAAAGGAAGACCTCAGATAGGGAATGATTTCCAATGAAAAAGATGAACAATGCAAAGAGCAAAAGAGATTATGAACCTGGTATTCACAATCCTGAGTGGGGCGTGGGGGAGAATTGCAAACACACCCCTAACCTCTTTAGCAGACTTGTATGTCCGCACACATGCATGATGTGTGTATACATGTACATCGTATGTGGGTACGTGTGTGCGTGCACCTATGCACGCCTCCCAGCCTGTCCACTGAAAGAGCCCAGAGACAAACAAACCGCAGAGGCGACAAGTCACCTAGTATCCAGACCTTGGTCCCGACCCGAATACCAGACTCCACTAAAAACAGTCAGGGCTCCTCCAGGAAGTGGCCCTTCCCATGGCTGGATAAAGGAGGAGGCTACATCTTGCAGCCCCAGAGAGGAAGAAGCGGCCCAGGAAATGAGACGTCACACGGCAGAGGCACCGCTGTGAAAAAGCTCCCGCTGGTCAGATCTGGGCCACCTACGGCGCTGGCGGTCTCGGGGGCAATAATAAAGTCAAGCTACTTGGAAAAGTGGAGCCAAAGGTCAACCTGGACACAAAAGGCAGGGAGAGGCGGAGACAGAGGGAGCTGCCGATGAAAGGGTAAATGGGGGATATTCTGATGACGGACAGGAGCTGTATGTGTTTCTAAAGTGCGGCCCACAGGCCCGTACCACGAGACACACACAGCATCTCTGACGTAGCATATCCTGGTCAAGATTCTAGAGCCCGAACCTGGTCACGAAGAAACATCAACAAACCCGAATGAAAGATTTCTTTTCTTTCTTTCTTTTTTTTTTTTAAAGGAAGGGAAAGGCTGGTGGCCTTCAAAAATGTTACCGTCGTTAAAAAAAAAAAAAGACTGGCGACAGGAAAACTAGACGTGATACATTATCACAGATTGGATCTGACACTGGCGGGAAAGCTATGAAGATCACATTGGATCAAACAATAAAACTGGGACATGAGCAGTAGACTAAAGTATTATGCCACTGGCACATTTACCAAGGCTGATAACTATTAAGTTATGTAAAAGAATATCCTTATTTTGCGTATTTAGGGATAAAGGACCATAATGTGTAGAACTTGCTCCCAAAGGTTCAGAAAAAAAATCACAGTGTGTGGGAGGGAAAGTGGGAGGGGAGGAACAGCACGCAGGAAGCAAGTGTGGGAGACGGGGACAGATGAACCTGGTAAAGAGTATATGTGTTGCCTGGGCACGTCTGTACAACAGTTTTAAAAGGTTGAAATTATTGCCCAATTAAAAGCAACAGAAATTAATGGAGCACCTGAGAGGCACCTGTAACAAATAAGGAAAGGTAAACCTCATGGGCCAGTATCTTCTGATGCCCTGTAGACCACTGAGGACTTAAGTGACTCTCACGGGGGTGATGACACGTCACCGGTCTATCATTGCAAGGAAGGGCTGTCGTGACCCACTAACTCAGCGTCTCCTCTGACAGTCCTGGATCCCTTTCCCGCCAGCGGGCTCACGCCCCAGGCTCAGCACCTGTCCTTTCTTGAGCTCAGTGCCAAGCCCCTGCTCGTCAGCAGCTCTGGCCTCACGCAACCAACATCCCACCAACTCGAGACCCTTCCCCACTTCCAAATGGTCTCCAGCCCCACCTGATCCAGTTTTTTCTTCGCCTACTGCCCAGAGTTCTCACTCTCTCATCTCTCTCATCCCTAGGCTCTGAAAAAAGGATCCTAATGGCGCATTCTCCCTCTCCTTCTCTTTCCTGTCTCCCTTTCCCTCCAAATCCATGAGTTCCTATGCTGCCAACCTTTTTTCAACAGAGGCCTGACTGAGATAGTCCCAGCCCCAAACTTACATGGCTCTCCATGCAGACCTAAATTTGAACTGTGCCCAGGATTCTCTGAGTGCTGCTTTGTTTTTCTAAACTTATCTTCCACTAGGCGATCAACAACACAAATTTACCTTAACGAATTCCAACTCTCCCATCTGTCCATCCACCCAAGGGTCGATCAGCCCAAATAAAACCTGTATTTTC